CGTGTAGTTCACAATCCTAAAAAATGGCTCATAGAAATACGTGAACGTAATTTGTCATAACATAGAATCACATTATTTGCGAATTTAGAATATTCCTGAATTATTTAAAAATATATAATACCTTCTATTTCGACTATTCAAAGCTATCAATTATTTATCATAAAATTTCTTAAACAGCAATACGTGATTGTAAAATTATTTTTTAGTCATTTTTAATAAAAGATGCAAGTTTTCTACGATACAATTCCATCTATTTGCCACGTGTACGCCACGAGCGTTTCATAAAACTTCTTCAGCGACTTATGAAATTTGATTAAAATTAATAGTTATATTAATTAAATACTAATTAATCATGCAATTAATTAATCAGAATTGCACAAGAGCGACAGATAATGGGCTAGGAAAGCTAGAAATTGTGAGAAAATAATACATATACACGCTGCACATGTGAACGGGAAACAATATGTATAACTATATCCGTATCTAGGATCTTCTTACTCTTTTGACTTTCCATGAACATCGGCTGCCTCGAGGAATCTTTGCAGGTGCTTAAATCGGGGTCACGCTGCTACTACAGGTAACAAAACTGTGCAACTATTCTATGGGAATGCGTTGCATATACGCAAACAATATACGCATATTTTACTGTAATACTGCGAGGAAGAAAATAGAAAATCATTTATATCCTATAAGCCTTAAATGCATTACCTTTCACGAGTATTGTGCGACTTACATAGTCGCAATCTCTGAATGCCGCGTATTTTTATATATAACAGGGATTAAATATCATAAAACTTTAAAATATATAACAGTTAAATATGTGATATTTCATTCAGTTTTATTTAGTATCTTATATGCAATCTTTACGTTAACATAAAAGTATCGTCATTGGCATAAATTTAATGTTATTAGATGTGTTTGTTATTCTGAAAATATTATTAACGGTATAATTGTTGATACTTTTTGACTTTGCAGAGACACGATTAAATTCAGAAATATTTATATATTTGAAATAGTAGCAGTCCAATTTTCAGTGATCATTTTTGAATTTGCAGGAAAGACGCATTTAAGACCACGAAATGGAAATGGCACTTTTAGTCTGAAGTATTTAGAAACAAATTCTGAATTTTTTTCATCATTTAAACTTTGTGGTAAGAAAAGTCGAAGAAAAGAGGACACCGCGATGGATAAGCGTTGAATGGCTCAAAAATTTTAAGCTGTGGCCAACGAATTCATATGCACGAAAGAAACCGATGTCATCGATATATAGTCACGGACGACGGCTAACGGAGAAACTTGATTCGGTCAGATTAGACGTCTATTCGGTCGATGACCCTACTTTTACATAGTCGAAGAACCTCCTGTTGCTTATTCATTGATCTTTGGAAGCCATAAATGATGACGCACTAAATTGGGAAACATCCATTAATGTGGGAGGATGATAGCAATTTTCATGAAACTTTGTATGCTTTGAGGTGAGTTGGTATTAATTAAATATTCAGTCTTAAGCTAGTATTAATTACTTCTGCTTTTATTATAAATAACGGGAGTAATAAATGTAGTCTTCTAATTAACTATAAAGATAATTAGTAGTTATATTGGTAGATTTTAGTAATTTGTTATACAAAAAAGGAATCAAATAGTATTTCTTAGTACACTTAAAGATGTATGAAATGTACAATTTTACTTAAAAATTTTGACTAACATCTCTTTTATGTTCTAATTATTTTATAGAAGCTATTATATATACACAAACTCCATTTTCTTTTTTTTTATTAAGGAATATCAATATGAGTTTATCAAGTTCACTTGTTCCACTCTTGGTTTTCCAACGGTGGTAGGAAGAAAAAAGAGAATGTTCTTTACAAAAGAATATATTAACAAATATTACACGTGATCTGATTACACAGTTTTTTGTTTTAAAATTCGCATATTTATTTTTGCGTTTAGAATTTTTTTAAATGATCTAACTGTAAAAATATATAATATTTATAAACGGGATATCTCATTAATGCAAACTAGTCTCAATGTACATCACAAAAAGTAATGACAAGTGATCGTCATTACTTTAAATTTCTGTGTCAATTTTGGATCTTCATAATTCAGAATTAAATTTTCGAAAAATTCTTCTTTCCTTTAAATTGTTTCATAAAGAGTCAAGTACCATGCGCATACAGTTAACTTTCATAGTCATAATATATTCTCTATATATACATTTTATAAATACTTCCCTACTTCGAAAGATATTCGGTTTTGAAAGGAAATTTAATAATGTAAAAAAGAAAGTCTTTCTTTTGTATAGCCCTTAAATCTTCTTTAAGATCATTCTTATATCATAAAAATACCATAAAGCTCTCGGATTACAGAATTCGGTACTAACAAGCTTTATATCAGGATTAATTTGATTATCATTCCTTTGACCAATGAAATCCGACGAATGAAGTCACACGATCATGTCGAGATAGATTCGTGACTCATGAGAATCTTCTTCATTATCGTGTGTATCCTGAAAGTTGTCAATATTCGGGTTCACGGCGTCACCGACGTCCATATCCACCATAGCGCCCTGAAAACCAACGAAACGTTGTAAATATTACGCGTTTAATTGCGAAAGAGTGAGTGGCTTCCCATGTCAAAATGATCAGGAACGTGAACGAGGACCTTATCCTCCAACGACGGTGGCTTCCCGTATATCGACGTGCGCCTCTGTGCCTGTGTTTCCTTGTACATCTACATGCGCGGCATTATGTTTGTATGGCGGTCGTGGTATGTGGGTCAGGAAGCCGATGTTACTAACAAGTGACTCGACACCGCTAGCTTTCGTCGCACCAAATTTCCGCCTCTACCAAATCTGGTCCTACGCAATTCGTCGGTTACCGTGATGCTGAAAGTGCCCTAAAAAAGCACGCGCTGACAGTGAGTCACCTAGTTTCGTGAATGGACGCCAGGGTTCCCTTATGAATTTCAGTCACGTGTTCGAAATAAAAGTATATCGTATCATCGAGTGTTTAGATCTTCTATTGGTCTTTCAATTCTATGTCGAACACGTGACACCTGTATTTTGTGTACAGAAATTGTCGAAAACAGTGGAACGATAATTTGAAACAGATACATGAATTGATTTGCATCCTGTATGGTGTCTTATCGTGGATTGATAACAAGGTACAATATTCTTATAATTATAAAAAGATTTTGAGAGTTTGTATAAAAAGGATGCTTGAATTTAATTTTAATTTGCACGATTTTAGGTTTAGAGGTTAATATTCGATAATTTCGATATGGTTCGATTTGATAATTTTTATATGGTGTACGGTGTAGTATTTGGATATATTTTTCAAACATTACCGTTTGAAATGCTGGTTATTATGGTGATAGCAATGGTGGTAAGTAGGTAGTAATATAAGTAAATAAGGTATTATTAAATGAGTAAGATCGCTATTTATAATGGAATATTTATATTTTCGTGAGGTTTGACTGAATTGTGGATGATCCTATGTTCGAATATAGTAAATTGCAATTGTCCATGATGATTTCACATGCAGAATGCAGCTCGCATGCTTGTGCATTACGTTTCTAATTGAATATCCAATCGCGACCTCTTCTCGAGGAACTGACACGGAATGCACCAGGAAAACGAGACGTCGATGTGACGAGGAACGCGGTTAGGTGCTACTTTTTGACAAACGACACAGAAAGTTTTTGACGTTAAAAAGTTGTATCGGTACATCTGTCAAACTACTCATAAAGTTTATTATAATTTCGTTAGAAATCGATATTTATCATGATATTCGATTAAATAGTAAATTACATGTTTATTTCCAATGCAAATAAATTAATGATAAAGTACACGAGTGAAATAATTCTTAGGCATGTTTATATTTCATTTTCATATGACAATACTACAATTTAATTCATATTATATATTTATGAATCGAATAGTAAACGTATCTATTAAAAATAAAATTACTCATTCACGTTAAAAAAGTAGTATGTAATAAGTACGTGAAAATTTTAATAACATATAAATAAAAATAAAAATATTGAATAGGAATATTTTCAAATTTTCCAAAAATTTGATTTTTTATATTATATATATAGAAAATATCGTTTAAAGTTCTAGAACTATTTTATTTTAATATATTTACATCTTAGTACATATTTCATATTGTGTTATTATTATTAATACCTTTAGCTACTTAACTACATACACGAACCGTTCTTTCTTGCTACATTGTAAAAGTAGCATTACATTACTATAAAGTAAACGGATGTAATATAAAATAAGCAAAAAATTTCTTTATTTTAGAACTGTATCTTAGTCTACTTTCATAATTAAAGGCTAATATCATAAACGTTCGATATTGTACATAAGAACCTACTGTTCTATTAATTCAAGGAAAAGAGTAAATAATCATCAAATGCACGTCTAGTCTAAAATTAAACTTCCGTAATTGAAATAAGGAATCTCTTTGATAGCTCCTAGTTACGTTTCGTCAGGGTATTTCTTACATTTATAGACGTTGGGTTTAGTCATCGCCCAGAAAGAAAAAGAGATCTTAGTCGCGTCTAAGCAGGAAGAACTGGTAGGATGATCAGCGAACCGCATCACCCTAAACCGGACTGTCTAACCCTCGATGGCCAAGCTTCCTTATTCAAGCTAATTGTTGTTTCTGCTTCGCGCCAACAATGAGATGCGATCGTACCTTCACCTCGAACATGTTGATTAACGTAGCCGTGAAATTTAATAGTCCGCGAGAAAGTGTTTCGCATGCTCAAGCCACGCCACAGTTACCGATCCTTCCAGGTGTCTAGGAAATATAAAAGTTTCGTGAATCAATATTTACAGTAAAATAAATCTGTTTATTTTAGAACATGTTGGTATTACAAATTTATTATTGTTTTGTAAAATAAATAATTTGAAGTAATTTTTCAGAGAAATAAATGGTACCTGAGATGAAATTTTTAAATATTATAGTATATTACTATATATATATTATTTATATAAGGTTGGAAATTCAAATATTTTTATATATTTTCGTTTCAGAAGGAGTACTGAGCCACCCGACTTTTCTTCATGTTTATCTTCTGTTTGCTTATGAATAATTATTAGATTTCAAACTATAATTGAAAAATATGACAAGAATTTTTGAGATATATAATTACTATCAAAAATAAATGTAAGAGTATTTCATAATTTGTTTTTATAATTCTATTTTAAAGCAAATAGTTGTGTTTAAACATAGGAGGTTAATTATTGCTCCTTTTAATATGAAAGGATATCTTTCATAACTATACGTTTCCAGATTTCTTTAGAATCCTATTTTATTTTACTGTATAAATTATATAAGTTATTTGACAAACATCGCAAAGGTAAAAATTATCGAGAAATATCTGTAATTACTGTTGTCATCCAGACTATTCATCGTAACATTGCTAGTAGCATAATTGCCAGCATTTCTTTAAAGTGAATGTCATGATTAAAGGTGAATAAATTTGCGGATCAAACTGCACACATCATCCCGTTATCATCACAGACTGGAAAATTCTAGTAGCATCCAATGCAAATTGATATGTTTTTAAAGTTAAAGTAGCGTGTGAAATGTATGTATAATGAATGATCTCGATTCGTGTCTCCAGTTTGTTTGCGTATTCCGTGTAAATTAATTAATTGTTATAATTCCGAATATCACGGAGCCATTAATTGGAATATAATTAAACTAGTTAAATTATTTGAAGGTTTATTATTCGATATCGAGCCGGAAAATTAGTTCAAAATGTCCTATGTATGATAATAACGATATGTTTGGAAAAATGGCCTGTCTATCATATATAATTAACCTTGCATAAATTTTAGTTAATGGTTTATTAACATTTTAAATGATGTTTTTCATTAGTAACATCATTTTTCTTCCTTTAGGTAACTGTTTCAGTTCTTCTCCAATGGGAAAAAAATAAATGGACCATATTTGTGAATAATTTATTAAAAATGTACAATTGAAGTGCAAATCATTTATTTATATATGAATGCTTTAGAAAATAAAATTTTCGTACACTTTTATATTATAATTCTAATGATTTTAATATATTTACAGTTTTTAGCAAACTTAGAAGTTTTCTATATGAATAATAAAATATGATTTCTCGACATTGCAGCTCATTGAAATGTATTGCAATTTTAAGATCAAGATCGACAATGTATATAATATTATTAATATTATCAGAAAAGTTATTTTTCGTTATTACAATTTTCTAAATTTAAATATATCAAGTACTACAATAAAAATTTCGACTCTTCTAGTGTTTTATTCTAAAATAGCGGAACTCCATGTATGTACTATAATTTTACTTTACTTACCAATAATCCAGACTTCACTGAAACATTACTTTGTCTGTTCCAGATTCAACGTTTCTACGTGTCCACGCGATGCACCCAGCGAATCAACATGTTCAAATCGAATTTTCGTCACGGCTCTTTGCTAGGAGGGTCCTGTCATCTCGAGGCTCGGCGATGTCCCGTCAAAAGTTGGCCTGAATACCGGAGGAGCATGTAAGTACAGAGGACGAACAGTCAGTCAGTCGCACAAGTCAGCCTCGTTCTCGATGGCAACCAGCACATCGGTCGTTACCTGGCTGGAGAGGTGGTAGAGAAGAGTAGCAAGTGGGGAGCAGAACACCTGGACGACTTCCTGCCAGGGAGTAAGCACCTCAGTCTTCAGGAAAGATCGTTTCACGTCGGTCGTTCGAGTCCACGTATCCCCAAAAGTCAGTCTCTATCAAAGAATACGTATTTTGATTAAAAAAAGAAAAAAAGAAGGGAAAGGAACTCGTGTCACGTCTAGAACAGTTGTAGTCTTCGAACGGTTCCGGTTTTTAGTCGGTGTTTAGTCGATCTTCCGGAAATGACCGCGAAATGACGTTACCCTCGCGGCTCATTCGGTGAACTCGCGAATCGGAGAGTGTTCTTTTTCTGCTGGATTAACAACAAGATCGACAGTCGGTGTGCTACCAGAACAGATCCTTCGTTGATCGTTATCGGGAAGAAACGACCACCAGCTGATCGTTCGGAGCCAGAGTTAATTGGAAGGATTGGCTGTCGAAGACATGGAGAGAACAGCTGTGTTTCTTCTGGTCATCATCGGCTTGACTACTCAAGGTTTGTCTTTCATCATTTAGTTTTAGTCATATTTTTATGGTGTTGTGATTGAAAATTGTTGATGGTTTTGGTACACACAGTTAAATGCTTAGATAAATATTATGTCGGTATTAGCATTGATACATTGAGTTGGCCAAACAATAATCTCTTGTATTTTTAGTAGAAAATAATAATCATTTCGTTTGAAAGAAAAAAGTTTTATTAAATAATATATTAACCATTTTGATTTATAATAAATAAATTCAATGAGGAACATTCTAGATTAGGAATATTGCTTTATATTAAAGAAAGGTATTATTTATAAATTTTATTTTAGTTTAATTCATTGAGATTAGATTTTTGGTCATTTTGATTTTTTATATATTCTTTTATCCAAAATTTTTAACGGTGCAATTTTTAACAAAGTAATTAATGGCAAAGTAATTTCGTTTTGGTCAACATGTAAATTATTAAAACACGAACAATTTGTAATCACAGGTTTTACATTTTACATAATAATTCGTTTTTTTATTGATGTTCGTAAAATACTACACAGAAGTAAACAAAGAGAAAGAGTAGAAGTAGCAGTCGTATATTGTTTCTTACTTGGGAGTAACGTAACGGAGTTTTACACAACGTCGTGGTAAAGGACAAGTTTACTTTAGAGTTCACGTTTAAACTCATTACGAAAGAACGTTTATGAAATCTTTCGTTTACCTATCTTAAAGGGAGCATCTGCTTGCTCTTCTTATGGTAAATGTAAAATTAACCAATTAAGAGTATAGAAAAGCCACGAGAGACTTAAGAACAAAGCCTCTTCTTCTGGAAGATAGAAATCTGTGGAGAATACAATATAATTTTTATCGCGACAAAATATCGCATAACGGTGCGTAATATATGATTGCACGAGAGATACTCGAAAAGTAGCGTTTTTCGGCGAATCAAATTTACAAACAAATGCAGATGTCCTTCCAGTTGTTGCCTCAAACAAAACATACTCGTGATACAAATACTACACTCTGTTTCCTCTTGTATTTGTCTCTTTTTTAAACAACTATTTGTCTGATTTTCCTTACTGATAGATCATAAAAGATTTAAAGTCATTTCAGATTTTACCTATGTTAATTAATCATTCTCACGTATTTACCTACAGCACGCGATAAAATAAATTATATGATATATCATATAATTTTCAGTGTTTCCTGAGACTAATGCAATGTATGCAAATTTTCTTTTATTAATTTTCATATAAAATATCTCTATATGCTACATGATAGAATTTTGATCAGGCAAATATTTTTTTAAAGCCATTTATACAAATATCAAATTTAAAATTTCGACAGCTATCGTAAGCAAGGATTTGTTTGCAAAGATGGTCAGTTAATTATTTATTTTTATTTACTATTCACTTTTAGAATAAGATATGTTAGTATTATTACTTATATGAAATTCATTTGTAGTGTTTAGAATAGAAATATGCGGATATAGATATAGATAGGTGGAAATAGAGGGTACTATTATTTATCTATGTTGAACGTTTTTCTTCGTCACGTGTTCAATAACCCTTTTTGTCGGTGAAACCGGATATATGTCTTTCAATGGGTATTCCATCTATCTTGAAAGGGCGAATAATTCTTCAGTGTCGATTTCACCAGTACGAGGCTAGCAGACTCGTTTCCCCAACTGAATGCATGTATTTCTAACGCATAAATCCATTTTGGTGTAACGCGGCAAATGTACTCATCTTCATGTGCATACGCGTCAAATTGACTTTCTACCGGTTTTCTTTGCGTTTGATGGAAGGTGCTGACGAAGGCTATTGGTAGTAATAGAAATGTGTACGACATTGAATATTGGTTTTGTATTATAGTTTTTCATTCTCTTCTTATTATTTGTTGAGTTAGAAATTGTAATGTATAAATTTTACACGTTGAAGTAGAAACATACTATTTTATTCTAAATTATTTTTCATTTTCACATGCTTATTTTTTTGTTTATTAAAGTTAGTTAGGTTTTTATAAAAAATTTGAGTTAAAATATTTTTCATGTTAGTTATTTTAGTTCTACCTTTTTTTAGATGAGTGAATCTTTGTTGTCCTTGATGTTTTTGAATTCACTGTAAACTCTCTATTCATTTGTATGTTTGTCCATAAAGAATAGATTAATGTTAATCATCTATATTTTTTGTAAACTGGTAAAGTAGGACTAAAGAAATTTGTCAATTTATAATTTAATTTGAAATAGTATTTTCGCCGACCTCGTTCTCATATCAATAAATATTATGGAATTTTTCATGGTATAATTTCATGAATTATCATTAGACATCCAGACGAATTAATTACATTAATTTGGAAATAAATATACAGAATTTTAGTAAGGTCTCTAATGGACAATAAATTACCCATCTTGCATTGTTCAATAAACCTATATACGAATTGTTTATTTGCTAAATCGATTAAGTTTATGAAATAAAAAGACAAACATTTTTTAGATATAAGAAGTTAAGCATTAATCACGCGCTTTGATACTAAAATTTTGAAAAATTATTAATTTTCTTCAATCAATACTTAAATAAAAAAAAGCCTTCCACTTCTATATCAAAATTGTTAAAATATAGTTTACTAGTCAATCATTCTATAGTAATTCTTTAAAACAAACATTCATAAAAGATAGGCACAGAATTCTCGTTCACAAGTGTTATTGTGATAATCAAATACTTGAAGTCCAATTTGAAATTATCACACATGCAACAAAATTTGTTGCCAACATATAAAATAATTCGTAGGTACTTTTGTGTTATGCGATCAAACAGTTTTGCAAGGTGTTCATTACGTCCTATTAGAAAAGTTGTCGTAGATTTCATGATTAGTCCACCTACATTGTGTGTGAAAAGCGATTCATAAAAGTGGCTTTTCTACGTTTAACGATCGCAATCACTTCTCATAGTAAAGTGACGGTTGCCCGTATTTCCCACGTTTCATCGGGAGGCACACACTTTTCTGTTACGCAGTTTTCAACTACTTCCTGAATACGGTGTTCCCAACTAATTACATTCTTCCGGTCGGATCGCTACTCAGTCGTGTCAATCTTCCCCTCGTTTCTTTTCAGCCCTTTCATTTCTTTATCTTTTATCTCCTGTTCCTTGCGGGTTTTCTTTCGAACTGATCGATCGAACGATTATCCATGTGCGTTTGTTTCACACAGGTATCAAATTCTTATCGTGGATACAATAGCTTTTCTTGCTTCTGTCTTATCGCCTTACGACAGACCACGGTTGACAAGGGGTATAATTAAACCTCAGTGGAAACGTGTATTATTTTGTTCAAGATCTACAAGGGCAATCGATATAATATGTTTCTATTTCCGTGACATTGTAACGCAATTGGAATAGATCAATCGAATATCTAATATTATACTAATTAAAGTAATAAATAACAAAAAGTAATAAAAGTTAATGAAGAAAACATAAAAAATAATAACATTAATAAGTAACAAAAATAATAATTAGAAAAATAAAAATAAATAATGAAAAATAATACAAATTAATATATATAATTAATACATTTTTTTTTAATTAAAATGTGTCATTTAAATTATTTATGCAGCT